TACATAAACAAAGTTATAAAACTCATTAAGAACTATGAGTTGTAAAAAAGTTATAAAACTCGTGACCTATGGGTGATCTATACTCGCGCAACCACAAATTACGATAATCTATGCAAAGTATCCCGATGAAAGTACATATTTGCCCGCTTAACAGTGTAACAGGGATCGTCTTGCAACTTGTTAGTGCTGTTGCGCGTAGCGTTGAAATATATCCGAAGTTCGGTCACCCCTTCAACAACTTTTCTCGCAAAATTCGAGTCATGTACGCTGCTCCTAAAATATACTGATAGTCTGACTCCTTCACAGTTACCTGCGCCATCTTGAAAGGTAGCCGTGCCTTTACATCGAAGCGAGACAACCGTTGAGCGTACAATGATAGAAACCTGTGAATAATTGTTGGTAGGTGTGAAAGAAGATTTCTATCATTGCACACTCAACGGTTGTCTCGCTTCGATGCAAAGGCTACCTTTCAAGATGGTGCAGGTAACCGTGAAGGAGACTATTGTAAGTTACTGGGGAAATAATAGACTTCTGAAGCTTTTACGTCATGTACAGTATAAGCAATGAACTGTATAGGATATGTTTGGGACAAAACATGCCGGATTTCTTTTGTTTTCTCTAGAAACTAATCCCACAATTCATTGAAAATCAAGTAGTGACGTAAAGGTTCAGGAGTCTATTGCACTACGTAATCTAGCAGTAGGATACGTACCACCAACATAAACATCGTCATGCTCTCTTACTTCCGCTATGACATCATCAATACTTGTAAAAGATTTGCCGGCATGTATCACGCTTTTATTAGTCACTCTAACCGCTATAGTCCTGGAGACCTTAGACATCAGAGAGGCGACTAACAGAAAATATGGAATAAGAAATTGAGTCTGATGTTTCGGTAAATAGCTGTAGCTWAAAAGTGCTGTACACAAGAAAAGGCAGACACTTATAAATTCTGCTTTTTAAAAAGCTCCATAAATCCTTCGTTATTTTCTCGAGCTCTAAGTGCTTGCCGCTCTGATAGTATTTGTCTTTTYCCCCCGTCAAGAAATCCGTTTCTTGATTGCCTTAAACTGAATCGTGTTTGTCACTACATAACAGTCCCTTTATAAATTTCGGAATGTTGGTTCTTCTCAAACACCAACCTGGGAACAACGSTAATTTTTGTTTGTTTGTCTGTTTTTATTTGCSCTCCCCCTACAGTTTATACTGTACCTCCAAGTCCTTGAATCGCTATTACATTGTAGTCATTGTAATTGAAGTCAATAAATCATSTATAACAATTACCTGGATCTCCTGGAGGATAAAATGCTAAAAACGTGTTGTTGTAATTATTCTTCCGCGGTGGGTATTGGTACTTGAATACGTCCAACTTCAAATTTTGGGACAGAAACATAGGCTCAAATGTTGCTGAAAATGAGGACAGCATGCATATCACAAAAAATATATATTTTTTGTTGTCTGTTGTTACAAAAATTATATATATGAGAAGTTTCAGCTGAAAAGGGGTCTTATTTGTAAATCGTTTGCTTTGGACTGCATATAAAACCGTTGCGTCATCAAAGGGGTCTTAGTCCTTAAGACTTTTTTTAAGTTACAATTYAGCSTCACAGGAGCAAAATTTCCATGGTTACCCCTTTGGCGATCATTTTATCATTCTTAGGTCCATGCTCTGTCGTTTCAATTTGAGTCTTTACAGCATTGCCAGTGCGTCCATGTTGGATTGACAAAGTGTCTTTAACGTCATCGATTTGYGCGCCGTCAGAGTAAGACAATTTATTTGGGTATTTTATGCATTTATTGAGTCTGTAAAATGTACATTCTGTTTTGCTTTCAGGTTTCAATAGCACAGAAACGTCAATAGCGYTTTTCATTGCTACCTCAGCGTCAATCCTTTCGCGCGAAAAGCACTGACGATAGGTTGGGGTTAATGTAATTGCTGCTACTGAAGGACGAGATGAGAAGTTTCAGCTGAATAGGGGTCTTATTTGTAAATCGTTTGCTTTGGACTGCATATAAAACCATTGCGTCATCAAAGGGGTCTTAGTACTTTTCATATACTTTTTGATAATTAAAATCAACAATAAAGCTTATAGATCAAATGCAACGGATTGCATTGAGAATGAGAATCATGATTCTTTGGACAATTTAGATAAATACCACAGTGTTTTCGTAGGAATAAATGACGACAAGATAGTGAGAAAAAAAAAATTTACCCTAGGTGTTGCGTTGCGTTGCGTTGCGTTGCGTTGCGTTGCGTTGTATTGTGCTGTGTTGCAAGTTAGCCGGCTGACATTTTCTTTTATGACGAATAGCACTCACTAGCTACTAGCAACAAATTAGGGAATGATAAACCTCCTTCATTCCCCGGCTTCACTCACATCCAATTATTACAGTTATGTGTGAAAATCTGACTATTGCTAGGAAGTAATGCCAAAGCTGTTACTACTACGTTTAACTAAAATAATAATGAACAACAAATAAAAAATGACATAGTTGAGTGCAAATTACTCTCACGCATCGCGCGCATGAAAATGAAAATGATTGTCCGCAATCAGAGGGAAACCTAGGCCTGCTGACGACTCACTTCTATCAATAATCGTTAGCTCCGTCCTTTAGGATGATCTTGAATACTTTAAAGCTTTCATAAGACCGCCGTATAATGATATCATATTTACTTACAGAAACAATGCTGTTCTGTTTGCTTCAATGATACGTTTTGATCGCGGTCACCATTTAACAGTCTGTCAAAATAGATATAAAATAGTATTAGACATTTATCATTGTTACCACACTTGTGTGAATTCTCGCGCGCTGATTGGCTAATTAGAGTGTGTCAGTAAGAGGACATGCACACTGTGTTGAAAACCATCACGTTTTGATGCTAAAAATTGTTACCAGTCGCGCGCTTCCAAAAATAGCGAAAGTAAGCTATTTGTTAAATATTACKTAACCTGCGATTGGCATGCGGAAGAATCCAGACAGAGAGATCGGAGTAGTCATACTCCTAATCGCGTCATACTTGTGAAGCGCACTGATATAAGGGACTGCTCAATCATTACCAGGAAATGGACGGGAGGCTTGAGAGATGGGTAAAAAAAAGCGGAAAAGCTATTCACGTTCTCCCCTCACAAGAAAAATATATGCCCTGCCTATCTATCACAAAACTACTTTATGTTTAATTTAACTTTCATTTTTTTACGATGCAGAAACTATTCGCCCCATACTCTAAGTCAAATTGTTTTGTTTGCTGTTTTACATCCATCGACTGCTAATGTGAAACGTTGAGAGAYGGTTCCTATCTTTACGTCCTTTCGAAGAAAACGAGGCATGTCATAGAGTAAGAGATAGAGTAAAATGCCTTGCCTGAGGACGCGTGCAACGTGTGTCCCTGAAGCCCCCTTGTAATCACATCCGTTTACAAAATTTATACTTACTTCGGTATGATAAGAACACAGACAATAGCCAGAGGAACCAGTAATTCGAATGTTGTTCCAATAGGTCTGCGAATCTAGGTTTTAAAAATGCATGAATTCGATCAGTTTCAACGATTGGCATCATGACACTGGGCACTAAACCGCTTTCGGCGGGAAATACCKGGGGAA